GTTTTCGCCAGTAACTGTGACTGGCATCCTTAGAGGTATAACACAGAAAGATGGAGTACTCTCTGTGTCAAGGTGAGAAGAAGAATGGTAGGCAGGTAATTTATATCTACTCCAGAAGGTGGGTAGGGCTGAGTCATTGTCTTGCAGGAGTTCCCCAGGCTACGGACACGCTAATGGAGGAGCTTCAACAACCTTCTTAGGAAGCAGGAAACAAAAGAAACCTCCTCAGGAAAGCTCCTCCATTAGCATGTCCGTAGCCTGGGGAACTCCTGCAAGACAATGACTCAGCCCTACCCACCTTCTGGAGTAGATGTAAATTACCTGCCTACCATTCTTCTTCTCACCTTGACACAGAGAGTACTCCATCTTTCTGTGTTATACCTCTAAGGATGCCAGTCACAGTTACTGGCGAAAACGTCAGGTCCTACCGTGTCAAGACCACGGCCACACATCCCGGAAAATCTACAGCAACTAATGAACTCCGGCCGTGAAAGCCTTCGACAGCACTCTGAAATCTCTCTTGCTGTGTATTTTCTCCACTCTCCCATGTATCTAACTCACACAGCTTCCCCATCCTTCTGTGTCATGTGTTTTTCTTAGAGGATAAGCCTTTTCGATCTCAAGCAGTTGTACAGTAGGACAGCCTCCTTTCCTCACCAAGGGATGCTGCTTGGGAGAGGCAGGTGGAGCCGGTGTTTCGTGTGCGGGGCTCTCCCTGCCATAATATCCCTGCACCCGGATGTCGTGAGACCAGTCCACAGAGGCCGTTGCCGGAGGATTACAGGAACGTTTGTAAAGTACCATCTGAGAGTAAGACCCGCAGTGGTTAAGAACTCGATTCGACAGCCAAGCGAATCTGAAATGCCTGTGCTCCACAGGAGGAGGAGGGTCTGGCTGGGCAGATACTCCAGTTCTCAATAGAGGGAAACGCCCAAAATAGGTAGAGGAAGAAGAGATTGGGTTTATCCCCCGCCCTTCACTACCCAAAGGAGTCTCAGAGCAGCTTACAAACTCCACTCCTCTCCCTTCCCCTCCCCACCACAGACACCCTGCGAGGCAGGTGGGGCTGAGAGAGCTCTTGACAGAAACTACTCTTTTTCAAGGACAGCTCTGACAGAACTATGGCATGCCCAAGGTCATCCAGCAGCTCCAAGTGGAAGAGTGGGGAATCAAACCTGGTTCTATGAGATTAGGGTCCATGCACTTCACCACCACACCAAACTTGCTGCAGTCCCTCCATCTGTAACACACAGCAGAGGACAACAGGACGCAGTGCACAGACTTCTTTTATTATACAAAAGCCCTCTCGTGGCAGAACTGGGAGTAGCCTTTGCCTTCTGCTCCCCCCCACCATCAATGACCTGTTCTAATTAGTAGCAGCCACTGCTGGCCTCTGTGTTCTCACCCTGTTCTAGGGTCCAGCTTTATTTTATTTTGCATGTTTTATTTATGTTGTCAGCCACCTTCCGCTCTGTAGGAAGGAAGGCAGCAAATAGACTCTTTCAAATAGATATTTCTTCCCCTTGGCCCTGCCGAACAGCAGCTACAGGCTAGACAGAACCCGCTCAGCTGCAGGGCAGGGCAAGCTTCCTTCTCAGACGGCGAGCCAGCAGGCAGCATCCGGGGAAGGCCTCGACCTCTGTGCCCTGTTGTTGACCCTCCAGGGGAACTGGCTGGCCCCTGTGTGGGACGGGAGGCTGGACTAGAGGGACCCTCCCTGGTCTGGCCCAGCAGGGCTCTTCTGGTGTCCTTATCAGGGGAAGGCCTCGGCCCCTCTGCCCTGTTGGCCGGCCGGAAGAACTGGTTGGCCCGTGTGTGAGAAAGGATGGTGGACTAGACGGACTATTGGTCTGATCTGGCAGGGCTCTTCTGATGTTCTTAACTCAGCCGACAAACTAAACTAAAAGTGGGAGTGTCCCAAAGTCCCCTTGTTCCATGATAGGCTGAGCCGGGTCCCTGCCGGATTCCGGGTTGCATGGCCGCTGTGCATCTTGTTGATCCCGTTGGCCCCTTCTTGATCGTGAGATTGGACACACGCACCCTCCCCGTTGCGCAGTCCCTACGTCGTAGGGGGGATCTCCTGGAGACTGATGTGTACCTCCTCCAGGTTGCGAGCTGAGCAGGTGCACCTGTGAGTGGTGACCACGTAGCCTGTTAGTGGGGTGGGCGGCTCCTCCTTGGCCGGGGGCGGGGGCTGTGGCCCCAGCAGGAAGTCTGAAGGGGGAAGAAAGAGCAGAAGTAGGGAGATGGAACCGCCGTTCATCCAGCAGCTCCATTTTTACATCTTTCCAACTTTGAAATCTAATAGTTTGTATTGCTAAGTGAATATAAAGCAATTGATAAAAACAGAATCCCAAACAATACAAGCTACGTAACATTAATGATGTTCTTGATTTTCAATTCAGTATATCTATCTGAAACTTAACTATTTAAAACTCTTCACATGTTTTCTAATAATACAGTTGGGTTAAAGGGAAAGGTTTCCCTTGCTCAAAAGCCTGCCGCATCAACTCTAGGGGTCCGGTGCTCATCTCCGTTTCCAAGCTGAAGAACCAGCGCTGTCCGAAGATGTTTCCGTGGTCATGTGGCCGGCGTGACTAGACGTCGAGGCGCATGGAACGCTGTTCCCTTCCCACCGAAGCGGTACCTGTTTATCTACTTGCAGTTTCTTGCTTTCGAACTGCTAGGTTGGCAGGAGCCGGGGCCAGAGACGGGAGCTCACTCCGTCCAGTGGCACTCGGGTCTCGAACTGCCGAACCAAAGACCGTCCGGTCTGCAGCTCAGCCCTTAACCTCTGAGCCACTGCTACCCCACAGCTGGGTTAGTCTGGAGGTTTGTAGAATAAGCACTTGCGATGAAACTAAGCAAGCAGGAACGATTCCGTTCTGTGCCATGTTAACTGACAGCCGGGACCCGTTTTCCGACAAACGTTGATTGATAGTTTTTATGTTCAAGTTGTAACGGTCTTATTTGTAATTTTTTTCTAAAATGTGACAGCCCCATATTGCAGTTCCATTCTTAACCCAGTGCCCGTCTGTTCTAGCCAGCAGCACAGACAGAATTCACTCCCCACCTTGTTTCGCAAGATTTTTCTTCAACTGGAGCGGCCCCAAACACATACAAAGCCCCTGTTCTACCCCTCTGCTAGAAGCACGTCTCCCGGAAAGGTGCCCTCTGATCTGACCCTCTTAGGGGGGGCCTGGAGGTCTCCCTGAATTACAACTGACCGGCAGACGACATAGATCACTTTCTTCTTTCAGAGAAAATGGCTGCTTTGGAGGGTGGGCACCCTGGGATTTTACTCTGCTGAAGTGCCTCTCTAGCTCCACCCCACAGATCTCCAGAAATGTCCTGACCCGGAGCTGGCAACCCTACCCCTTAGTAGGA